AGCTCGCGGGGTCTGTGTGGCGCCGCCGTATCGCTGGGAAAGGCGCCGCCAGCGCCGAGACGGGGTTGGTTTCGGTTGCCCAACGGCTCAGTGGACTTTGGCCGGCGAGGTGGGTGCCTGACGCTCGTCCCCGCTCCATCCCCAGCGTCCTCACCAAGTGGTACTCCAGGGTGGTCTTCCAGATGCCTCACCAGGAGATCGCCGACAGCCTCCGGCTCTGCCTGGCCGATGCGCTCCAGCATTTCCACGAGGTGAGGCCAAACCCCCAGCCCAGCGCTATTGTAAATCCTGTCCGTCCCCCCCATAATTTAATACCTCCTCAAAGCTAAGGGAAAAACACCCCAAACCTATCGGCCCGAGTGCGTGCGAGCGAGCAAACACGCTCGGCAGCCTTTGGACTGGATGCGGTGCCCGCAGAGGCTTGCCCTTATCTCGGGAACGTGCAAACCTGCCTGAAGGATTAGTTTGCACTTGGGGAAGCGCCACGTTACACCTCTGCTCCTATCAGCACCGAACTGCTGAGCTCTGTCCTTTTGTCCCACGTCCCCAGCGTGAGAAAAGCAGTGTGCGATGGGGCAGGGGCCAGGACCTGTCGGCAGCAGGGACTTTGGGATTTTCCCGTCCCTCTGCGGGTGCTGGAGGGAGCTGGACGTTTGGTGATCACCAAACGCTTGTCCGCAGGCAGGATTAGTGCAAACGCTGCTGCTTTCTGCCCTGCCAGCCCCTCTGAAACTCGCTTTGAAATGCGTTTGCTGGGGTTGAATATAGTTAGGGGCTTTTTGCAAAGCTCAGGGGTGGTGGGTTGAATTCACAGGCTTCAAGACCACTGAATTATCAGCCCTGGAGACCCAGTGGGCATCTAGTGCCCAGCTTCTTGCCAGGGCTTGCATCTCCCCCTGCTAGCCAGTTCTGGGCGTGGGGGGAGAAAAAACAGTGACCTCTTCCAATTTCTGCTTCCCCAGATGAACCACTGCTTGCCCAAGAAAATAGTCATGTACAGGGACGGCGTGTCCGACAGCCAGCTCGACACCGTGCTCAAGTATGAGATCCCGCAGATGCAGAAGTGCTTCAACACCTTTGAGAACTACCAGCCCAGCATGGTGGTCGTGGTGGTGCAGAAACAAATCAGCACCAACTTCTACACCCTCACGGCAGAGCAATTTGTCTCCCCTCCTCCGGGGACGGTCATCGACCACACGGTCACCAGCTCGGACTGGTGAGTGGCAGCAGCAGCAACGCCGGCTGCTTTCGGGAGAGCCCCGTGGGGTGCGACAAAAAAAAAACCAAAACCCAAAAAACTACCTGGTGTGCAAAAAAAGAAAACCCCAGCCTGCACAAACACCTTGCCCTTCCCTCCCTCTCAGGCAGGATTTCTTTTTGTTGGCCCATCACTCTCGCCAGGGCTGCAGCATCCCCACGCGTTACGTCTGCGTGCTGAACACGGCCAACCTCAGCTGCGAGCACCTGCAGAGGTAAGGACAGGCTTTCTGCAGCCCCCCCGACATCTGCCAGCGTGGGGACCCATGTCTGACCCCCCAAATCGGGGGTTTTTTTGGCAAAATGGAGCTAGCAGGGAGGGCAGCAGGTACCTGTGCAGGCACTGGGCTGAGCCTGCTCTTCATACTGGGTTAGCTGGGAGGACTCGACAGCAGATGAGGGAGAGGAGGCGGATCGCATCTCGTCTTCTCTCTCTGGGCAAGAATTAATTGCAAGGGTGATAACGGGAAATCTGTGTCACCCAGCGCTGGCCTTGGGCGGCCTTGCAGGAGAGCTGCCGCGGCCTCAAACGCGGCTCAGACGGTACGCGGGTAATTAATGCAATCGGCCGCTGTCGGCGCCCAGGCAGGGCCTGGCCTTTCGCTCGAGCCGTCGGGA